TTGTGTTTGTGCAGTAGCGCCCTGCATGATTAGTTTTGCAGCTACCTATATGTTGTTTCTTGTTGAATAAGTTAACGAATTGTAAATTTTGTAAAATGCTCAACCATGTTGTCTTGTTCTTCTACTAAAATATTTGAAACGAAGCTTCAGCTTGCGGAACTTCGTGACTCGATCGAAAGAAATTTAGTGCATTCTGATTTGAGCTGTTGCATCATCCAATGCTAATATGTCCTCCCTAGTGTTGGAAGGTGTTTTTATGTCATCATGTACCACTAGAGAATCGGATGAACATATGTAAGAAGTTTTTGCAAATTTTTGAAAAGGAAAGGATCAAATTGAAGGAGATTTCTAGTTTGACGAGCATTCTTCCGGGGCAAATTCATGTTTTTGTTGTTCTTGCAGCACCGAGACAGGCCAGACATTTTGGGAGGACATTAGTTTTTGCCTGGATATGAAGCTACTGCTTCGGAAGCTATCATCCGTCTTCCAGATGCTACAAAGTACATCTGCTACTAAGGATATTTTGTAGGCTACCTGAAGTTTAGAGTGACTATTTTCGCAGGCATAGATTTTTACAGCAGATACTGATGCGGCGTCGAAAAGGTAGAAGTGGAGGGCTGAAGGGTGCGTAGAACGATCAGGCTCCGTTCCGATCACTGGACATTTAAGGACTATACTATTGCATTAGCTCTCACTTTTTGGATCCATGTAGATGTATATCGATTGCATACGGCCTACGCAAGTCAATGTTGCTCAACATTTGTTTACTGTATTCCACAACATATGAATCACATTATCAAGTTTGAGGCAACAGATTAGCTTGCACATTCAGACTTCGATTCGGACTTTGTAGCGCCAGTGCTGCTGTTGCCTGCGTGTAGGGCCGTCCGTCCCCCACTCCCGTCCCGGGGCGCTAAGGGGCTTTTGTGTGCTGGATGCGAGTGATAGGAGTTCCAAGTTTAAAATGAAAAATGCAACACGAGTTCTTCTTTCTTTCTTTTTATGTTTACAAAGCAACATTGTGGATTTTCTTTCACAGCAGAAAATTACGTCTTCAAAGTTTGCATTTACAACTAAATCCCATTACAAAATGGTGGTTTAATAAGTCATGTTCTACTACGCACTACCAAAGGGGATTGAAGCCAGTTTGACCTGCAAAAATGTGGACAATCCATCCAATATATCACAATAACCTTCTGTCCACTGATGAGATCCTTCTGTCATCCACTCAGAATAACTGTCTTCCTCACACAAGTCACAAAAGAATATCCAACACTATGCACTGTTAAGCACCGACCCAAGCTTTTGGCAGAACTCTGTTGCATATTTCCATTTCTCATCTTCTCATATTCCATCAACACAAAGGGGCTTTTTCAGAAACCTAACAACCAACAACTAGTAAACATTTGAACCATTTCTCTAATTAACCCAACCTCTCTTTTTTGCTTTTCTTTTTCAAACAATAAGCAAAATTGCATTAGAAAAAATGATTACATGAGTGTCATGAGTGGCCAATCAGGCATAATTCTATCCCACAGACAAGAACAGCTGCCTCTGGAAACAAAAGAAGCTACCTAGTAGAATTGCATCAAGAATTTTTTTTTTAAATTTTATATTAAAAAAAAAAAAAATCCTAAAATCTCCTCCAAAATGAAAACATGTAATCATTGATCCCAAACTTTACCCAAAAATATAAAAAGAAAAGAAAAGAGGAAAATCCCCAGAATTCATGTAATGAGCATCAATTCCAGATTCATATGAAAAGAAACCATAGATCTCTCTAAAATTGAGGCTAGTGATACATTAGTATAGCAATTCAGAACATGGGTCTCAAATATACAATCATAACCAGAAACCCCCCATCAAATACACCATCAAAATAAGAAGGAAAAAAGGAAAAGAAAATGAAATTGCTGCTTCCATTTCTCCATACTTGGTCCATGCACTGTAATTAAGTCAAGTTTTGATGTCATTACCTCTTGCACATCTTGTAATGACCTCACAGCCTCTACTGTAAGGATTTGCCGCAACAGCATGACAATTGTAATATGAAGCCCCTGGTTTTCCACATGGAACCAAGTCCCTCCTCAGTGTCTCATAGCTTATGTACTTCTTCTGCATTGCTAGAACTCTCCTGCTGGTCTCTGACTCCATTTCTGGCTCTGTCAAGCACTCCCCAATCTTCTGGTTGCAGGCCCTTCCAGCTCCCACCATACCATCAATTCCACTTCCTTTCAGTGAATTGAGGTCAAAAGCTGAAACCCCATTGCAGATTGAGAAATGGGTATGGATCAAAAGGAGGGATAGGTAGGAGATTAGCATGGGATTGGGTCTTCTGGGTTTGGACATTTTTTGTTTGTTTTTGTTTTTGTTTTTGTTTTTGTGCCTTCTTGTTTTGTGTGTGGTGTTTTGGACTGTGGAAGAAGTGAGATTCTTAGTGGTTGGTGGTTCATAAATGGATGGACCATGAGAAATGATCATGACTTACCATACAGTTCCAAATGATATATATGTAAATGTAGGTGGCTATGATTATAGACATGTCATGTGCGATGAAGGAATAAGTGGGAACCCAACATCCCGTGAACCCTGTCAACATATTAAAAGAACGTTACTAGGAAAAGAAAGAGAATAAACTTGATCTAGAATAAGTTAATTGTTTGTCTTGACCAAAAAAATGAAAGAACATTGTTCGTTTACCATTGATATTCATATCGAATTTATACGGGGATGACAATTTCTGCTCCTATGTTATTTTCTTATCGTATTAATATCAAATGAGTAATGCTAGGGACACCAAATTTATGCACCAAATTTGAGTTCCAAATGATATGGTGCATGACATATCATCACTTTAACTTAATAAAATTGCCGGCATGTATTATTCTAACCATGTAACTTAGTTGATTAATCCAAAGTTCCAGTCTTTTTGGCCCTATCTCACCAAAAAAAAAAAAAAAAAAATATTGTCGCAAACTTAATTACCACCATATTCCACAAAAACCTGTCCCCGCCGTCGCTGTGGCTTTACCAACAACTCAGCCTACCCCAAGTCAACCTTCATAGATTCATTTCGTCCAAAAAAACCTTAATAGATTCATTTAATCAGCAAAAGAGTTAAACAATTTTTTTGTCCAGCCATTCGCTTCCCATTTAATTTTGATAAACAATAAACTCTTCCAAATCTTCTCTTTATATAAAAATTTTGATGATGGAATTTCAACCTTTTAGATTGTCTAGGATGATGGGGCGCTGTAGGTGGTTGGGGGGATATGGTGGTGGTCAATTTTGGGATTTTATTCGGTTAATTGAAGTTAACATTTATGCTTTAATTTTTTCAAAAGAAATTAATTGCTGGTAATAATAAATACATATTGGCAATTAATTGATGATGTGTCACTTGTCACATTAGTTGAGACTCAAATTTGATGTCCCTAGCAATATGAATATTAGAGCATCTCCAAAGGAGATGCTAAATATCAAAGATCAAATTTAAATTTGATGGCTGATGTGGCAATTTGACATCTTACACAGCTTTACACTCCACCCGATATGTCAAATTAAATTATTATTTTATTACATTTTAGTGTTGATTCATTTTTAATTAAAAAGAAAAGGAAAGAAAAAATAATAAAATATTCATTTGACATCTTGCTTTTGGGATATAAAAAATAACATCTCAACCTCCAGCCTTCATTCCACATCAACTTTGACATATCAGTTGGAGTGATGTGAGATGTTATTTCTAGCTGTTAAATGTCTATATAGCACATTTAACACATCGGTTGGAGATGCTCTTAGAAATGACTTATGAACTCTAATTCAACTCGTTTATTACACTTGTCGTAACTTGTTTGACACTTATCGTAGATCACATATACAATTATTAAGTTGGAATTTTTAAACTACATTTTTATTTTCATTTTCGCGCACCTTTTTTTCCGCATGACCTTAATGCTTTAGTAACACCATAATGGTAGTCCTATAATTCTAGAAATAGTATTAAGAAATAGGAAAGATATTTTGTTTAAAAATCATATCAGTTACCTCAATGTATGAAGTTGAGTTTTAGTGGAAGTTAATGCTTGGGTATATAGTGTAAAAGAGACGGATAAAATTTTTGAGTTTCTGTTATTTCACTTTTGTTGTTAATTTTGCTGAATTGGCAAAAGGGTGGCAATCCGATATTTTTCCCAAAGAAACCATTGAATAAATTTTAAATTTTACCCATTCCAATTATTTTGCATAGAGTCTTATGAAGAAGACGTACACATTTTTGCTTCAAAAACTACTCAAAGTCTATGGGGGAAAGTGACTGAACGACTAATGCTCAGATATAGAACGCAAGGGTCACAGTCTCACCGACTCTACCGGGCTGGTATGGTCTGGTCTTGTCACTGACTTGGTGGGTATGTATGAAGTTAATGAACGGGACAGCCCATCACCAATTGATTTTTTTTTTAAACAAAGAAAGATTATGATTATTTAGATAGAATTTAAAGTTGAAATTTGTGACTTTTAAATTATATGTTTATTTTCATGTGAAATTTCTAAATTTAAAAGGGGTTTTTTATTTTTTTTTTATTTTTTTATTTTTATTTTTTTATAATTTTTATTTTTTATTTTTAAAATTTTTAAATTTTAGAAATGACAACTATTTAGATAGAATTTAAAGTTGAAATTTATGACTTCCAAATTCTATATTTTTTCTGCGTGAAATTTCTAAATTTCTAAATTTATTTATCAAAGCACGAGAATTGATGTATGTCAATTTAGAAATTCTGATTTTGTTCAAATTTCAAATTTATTTCTCTCATCCAAACGCATCAAGAGAACAAGCACATTTTCGTGGCAAACCAGCCTAACACCTACTTTAGTGTATAATATTAATAATTATATAATAACATGAGTCGAATTGATTACTTATACAACATGACAGATGTTTTAAAACCACACCATGATAAATTACTTGTGGGCCACAACCCGAAGGCCCATCCCAGCCTGCTAAAACAAAATTTTAACTTCACGTTACTTGTGGGCTGGCAATTTCTTTCTTTTGTGACAAGAATTGCCTCTCTCTCTCTCTCTCTCTCTCTCTCTCTCTCTCCCCTAACCCATATGAAAACCATGTAAGTTGATTAATCCTAGTAATCAATTTATTTAATGGTGAAATTACAAATTTCGCCTTAACTAAGGTTATTTTAGTCACTTTTTGATTAGGAAGGATTTTGGGAAAATGAGTGGAACTATTACGTAGAGCTCGCTTTCACTAGTTTGTAGACACGTAGTGGGCTGAAATTAGAGTTTTAACGAAAAAGTTGTTGTCAATGGAAGTGGAGTGGCACAACCGTAAATTTGTTGAAGTTGGATTTTTAAAACAAACCTCTCTCTCTCTCTCCAGGTGCAGCAACAAATTTTAGACAACGATTTCGTCACTGTCTGGTGTTCGATTCGAGCGAAATTGGTTGCAAAAGTTTCGTATCGATGTCCTCTATCTAACCCACCCATTTTTCCCAGCTAAAAAACCCAAGGAAATTAAACTGGAACGACTATAAGTTTGAGTGATTTTTGAAGTTTCTGACGTTGTTCCCGGCGATTCCGACGGCTGTATTCATCGATCCAAGTATGAATTTTCATCCCCTCCACGTGTTCTAGCTATCTATGCTAGTATCTTGGATCAATTTTGAGGTTTTACATATTGTTCAAAATACCCATTTTAGCCGATGATTGTGCTTCGATTTGGCTAGTTTCGACTAGTTTTTGGCCGTGGTCCAAGAACAAAAATTGATCCCCTAGTTAGTCTGAATCTGTTGGCATAGGTATTGGTCGGTGGTTTGAAGATTTTGTCTCAAGGCACCCACCGCTGTAGTCGGCAGGTGGTGGTGCGTGGGCCACTGTGTTCCCACTACGTTCTAAAATGTTCCCCTTGTCGTCCTGAATACGACGGAATGCTCGAATTTGGATTTGGTTACCTTTTGACTATCAAACGGATATTACGCCTATTAGGTGATATATGGGTTCGATAGGTTCAGACTGTCTGATCAGTCTCATTTTTAAATATGTTATTCCTTGTATCTCTAGGATCATATGGAAACCTATGGATAGAGAATCAGAGTACTATGAGTCAATGAATTTGGGGTTAGTTAAATCGGCGACCGCACGGTCGAGACTAAACCCTCGGGACTTGGTTAGTAGACATTGTTGGGCCTATAGGAACCCTTGAGTCCGGTTGACCAAAAATGGGAAGTTTGAACGATCTGTAAAACCTTAAAATTGATCCAAGATACTAGCATAGACAGCTAGAGCACGTGGATGGGATAAAGATTCATACCTAGATCGACGAATACAACCTCCAGAATCACTGGGAACGGAGTCGGAAACTTCGAAAATCACTTGAACTTCCAGTCGTTCCAGTTTAATTTCCTTGAGTTTTTGAGCTGGGAAAATGGGTGGGTTAGATAGAGGACATCGATATGAAACTTTTACAACCAATTTCGCTTGAATTGGACACCGGACGGCGGCGAAATCTCCGTTGGAAATTTGTTGCCGTGCTCGTAGAGAGAGAGAGAGAGAGAGAGAGAGAGAGAGTCGGGAAGAGATAGGGAGGAGAGAGAGAGAGACTAGTTTGTTTTAAAAATCCAACATCAAAAAATTTACGGTTGTGCCACTGCACTTTCGTTAAGCACAACTTCTTCGTTAAAACTCTAATTTGAGCCCACTACATGTCTATGAACTCGTAAGAGCGAGCTCTACGCAGTGGTGCCACTCATTTTTCCCAAAATACTACTGGATCAAAAAGTGACTAAAGTTACCCTATCTTAAGGGCAAAATTTGTAATTTCACCATTAAATAAATAGATTATGATGATTAAATTGGATTGGGATGTTACAGCAGCAAGGTCCAACGTCAATCTATTATGATAATGTTTATGCTATTAAGCTTTCGAAAAATCCACTTTTGCATGGGATAGTCAAAGTTGTCATGGAGTCATGGTTAGTGGCTGAACGTGATGGTTTAGTTATGCAGTAATTGTTCCTACTATTTAGCTTAGTTGCTTTGTTAGTTTGCTATTTAAGTTGTATTTAGTATTCAAGTTGAATGTGAAGAGAAGTTTGAATTCACAAATACGTTCTTGGTTCTTCATCTATTTTCTTATTTGCAACATTTTGTAGCAGAAATAACACCAACAATACCAAAGACAAGTACCAATGGAGAGCAGAAGAAACCATAGATGGCAACCGTGAAGCTCTTGAAGCTCTCAGAGAACTCAATATCTACCCTATTTTCTATCCACAAGCCCAAGAGATCAGTCTCAAAGTAACTCATAAAAAACACACTTTCTCTTTCTTCTCCTACCTTTACTCTTATATCTAATTAACTGGGTTTCTGGGGTTTCATTCAGTGGCCTCGAGGTTTACTTCTCTATGGTCCACCAAGCACGTGAAAGGTATCGAATCCCTGCTTCCTCTAAGGTTTTTTTATTGTTACTTATTCGCTCATTGTTAAAGTTGTAACATTAGTTGCTAA